TAAATGAGACTGAATGGCCTTTATTTGCAATTAAAAGACCGTTCAACAAGAGTACGAAATTTATCAAAGATGACATAAAGATCAGACTTTAATTTCATAGGGAAGAACCATGTATAACGGGAATAGTCATCCACAAATATCACAAAATAACGGAAGCCAGAAGTAGATAAAGTGGGCGCAGGACCCCAAATGTCTGTGTAAATAAGATATAGTACTTGAGAACTAGAGGAAGCAACACGGGGGAGGGAAAAACGGGCAGATTTGCCTAATTGACACGCATTGCATAAAGAATTATGACAACGAATATTATCATGAGACCCACTAACCAAACAAGAACGAAGTATATGGCTAAGAACACGGTTATGAGGATGACCCAGACGATTGTGCCAAGTGGAAGTCGAGGCACGAGCGGAAAGAAACGCTGACGGAGACGAACTAGGTAATAAAAGTGTGTATAGTCCCCCCAAACTATTTCCCCGAAGAAGGATTTCCTTGGTATTGATATCCTTCACAACAAAAAAGGAGGGGTGAAACTCAAAAAAGACTTTATTATCGGATGCAAACTTCTGAACAGATAATAAAGAATTAGACAAACATGGAACGTGAAGTATATCAGACAATGTAAATGATCTAGAAGGGGTATTAAAAGAGGCATGACCAACATGTCTAATAGATAAACCCATACCGTCACTGACACGTAAAGTGTCATTACCAGTGTACTTCTCCGATGTAGAAAGGGCAGCGATGTTTGGAGTTGCATGATTTGTGGCTCCAGTGTCCGGAACCTAAGTATGAGAATTTGACGAGGTTTTAGCACCTAAACCATTCTGAAACACCAAATTAGCTTGAGAACCCGGAGCCCCTGAATAACGCCGGAAACAGTTGACTCCCGTGTGACCGAAACTTTTACAAATTTGACACGGATCATTATAGCGCCAAAAACAATTGGCTCACGTGTGACCAAAACGTTTACAAATTTGACATGGATCATCATAGCGCCAAAAACAATTGACTCCCGTTTGACCAAAACGTTTACAAATTTGACACAGATCATCATAGCGCCAAAAACAATTAGCTCCCGTGTGACCAAAATCTTTACAGATTTGACACTGAATATGAAGGCCACGACTACCACGACGCTGGTTGAGTGGAGAATCGTCCGAGTTCGGTCGGATTGCTGGGTCGCCGATCCTTCTGCATACTAAAGCTTCCATTTTTTGTAATCTTTTTCTTGGGAAACGAACAGTGCTATGCTATGGATGAGAACCAACACTGACTAGGATTTTTTTTTATTTTTTTCAGAGAAAAAAATCCTAGCTACTTGATTACAACGAGATCAGATGATGTGAATATATACAATAGAGAGTCACAGTATGATAAGGATAAGAAGTAGAGAGTCACAGTGTGACAAGGATGAGAAGTTCTAAACAGACTCAGATACATAGAGTCCTAATAAAAACAATGGATGCCAAAAAAACAACCCCCATCACTAGAAAACGCACCACCATCAAAAGGTCGTCGGATTGAGCACAATACTGTCTATAAAGTCAACATGTAGAAACACCAAAAACCAGCAACCAAGACAAAACGCTAACATATCAAAACAGTCCTCAGTAACAAAGTATAACTAGTGTCTCACTGCCATCGGCAAAAACTTTACAAAGAACACTCCATAATGGCCGAAAAACAGAAGGCTGCCCAGATATCTTGGGGATGTTATCACCTTTAATATCCTCCAACTTAAGCTAGCTGATTCTGGATTTGATAATCTCATCACCCCTGACATCTTATGATGAAAGATGGTGAATGGATCACAGAGGCACATAGAAATAACTTTGATTTATATTGAAGTATTAATATTGCTTCTATAAAATTATGGCCAAGGCCATTGAAAATCAGTTGCCACAAACTTCTCTGATCCATTACGTCAGTCGTCACCAGCTAAATTACAAAGAATGAGATAGTTAAATACCAATCATAGTTAAATACCAATCACCCCACAAGGGTTTGAACTTGGGACCTTTCATTTAAGAAGCCACAACCATATCACTCAACCACAAAGTCTTTGGTATTATTTTATGTATATTAATCATATGATTTATTAACCCAATAAGGTAGCTCAAGTGGCAAATGAGCTCTCTTTGTGGGGGAGAATTTCAGGATAACCTGGGTTCGATGTGCCTCTTGGAGCGAACTGGGTAGACCTGGACCGTTAAACGGACAGAGAAAGACCCGGACCACAATGTGTGGTTGACACAAAAAAAATCATACGATTTACTTTTATTAGATGTTATTTATTTTTATTTAAATTTTAATTGTAAATTATTCATATTATTATGCAGATATTATTTTATGTATATTAATGATATGGTTTATTTTTATTCGATGTTATTTTTATTTTTATTTACTATTTTTATTTAAATTTTAATTGTAAATTATTCATATTATTATGCATATATTATTTTATGTATATTAATCATATGATTTATTTTTAGTAGATGTTATTTTAATTTCTTTATTTACTATTTTTATCATATTATGAATATATACATAGTTAGTTAATAAAATCAATGATTCTTACTAAAATAACATACATGAGAAAAAAATGAAAATATTAAAAAGTGCATTGTTTACTACCTTTGTATGCTACTGCTGACTTTGCAGCTTTTGCAGCCTCAGCTCCCTAGTCTTTCTAGCAACCTCCCTTGTACGAGATACCTCCTCATCTGCTGATGCCACTTATGCTGCTAAAGTAGTATCTTCAGTTGATATAGAAGGAGTTTCAGTTGTTTCCTGAATCCCATTTGATCTTTCTCAATGTTAGTGTTCAATTCCTTCCTTAGCGCCATGCTTTCAAACAAGTGAAAACAAAAAACTGAAAATATTGGAAAGTACATTGTTTACTGCCTTGTATATTCAGTTTGTTAAAATAGATTTGCAAGTGACATACACTATGTTCAAAGTAATTATTTAAATGTTACCTCTTAGAATAGATAGAAAAATACTCTCAAAAATATCGTACATATAATAGACAATTTAACACAGTTAATTAATTTGTGTTCAATTATTAGAGCATACTGATTTTTAATTTCCTGATGCATACATATCTTATGTGCATTTATAATTTAAATTGAGATGAAATCTTACATGTGCATATGAATGAGGAATGCCTTGCATTCATTTGTGTGAAGACACTTAATTGTTATGTATTTATCTAACAATTGTTATATTTTATCACTATTAAACATGGATTAATGTTTAATCACATGCATTACTTGTGTTTTGCTAATTTGGAGTTTTCTATGATGACAAAAAAGCTATTAATGGGATCCTCTAGAGGACGATATTGTATGCTGCATCTTTGAGAAAAGAGCTGCAAAGCAACTTATAGACCATCTTCGAGATGTTAGTGAGGATTTAGCAAACAACAAATCCAAGTCACATTGGATTTCTGAGGATGTGCCAGGTGGCTTAGTTCGCATTTGGGAAAGTGAGGCATTCAAAAAGCTCTTGAAGAAAACAAGATTAATTGAAGTTCAAATTATGAATGACTAGGTGTATTGCTTCATAGTTGTGGTTCTATTTCTATGACTAAACATCATTCGAAGATTGGTAAGTTTGAAGAAAAAATTAATATAGCTTATCTTTTATAATATTATGTTAAGTATGTTGTGATTTTGTATATTGTTTTTGAATAGAAAGAAAAGCTTGGAGAATATCCAAGTCATGCAATCTTGTATCAACACACTCATAAACGCAAGAAAAGATGGAGCATATGTTTGTTCAAAAACTCAAAATGTTGTAAGAAATATTTCTAATATCACTTCTATTTAAATTATCATATGAAATTATTTTAGTAGATGAAAATGTTTTTTCTTATTGATTTTATAGGACACAATGAATGGACTATGACAAACTCAAGTTGATGCATCAAATGCAAAGTTGTGGTTGGAAGCCACCGTTGCATAAAAAGAGGAGGTTATGTATATCGCTTTGGCTTGGATACTCAACACTATTTCTCAAAGGCTTCAAGGCAATTAAAATCTAAGTTTGGAGTGTCATTCAAATGCAACTTTGATAGTAGAAATTCAACAAATGTGAGAAGAGAAAAATATGTTTCGGGAAGATAACAAGTTGTTTTGGGAGCATGTTGAAAAGATGGGTGCTATATTTGCATAACCTAATGAAAATTCTAAGTTGTTTGCCTCTTTAAAGTTAAACTACAACTCCACCTCAATAAATGAGGAAATATAGTCCCCCCTTATGAACATTAAGTAATTTATGTTTTTGTGACTTTTTGTGTGTGTGTGTGTGGTAATAGTGTTTTGAAACATCTATGGACATGATACTATATTTTGGATGGTGAAGCTACTCTAAAACAATGATGGATGCATAGATTGAATTGTATTTTGGATGGTAGAAAGTGCTACAAAACACAACTAGTTTGGGTTGTAAATAATTTTGATGTTTATATGTATATTCATTTTGAAATTAAGTAGTTTTTACATTACTTTGTTGATGACATAGAATTTATTGATAATAAGTAAAACTAAAATATGGCAAGATCAAAATAATAAAAGTAATGTAAATAGTTTCGGATTTTCTGCCAACAGCTAGTTGCAATTTTTGACTAACAATTTGAAGGAACTCTGCATAATACAATAGTGGTCAAAGTCACGGGGTACTCCAAATATGGTCAAAGTCACGGGGGCCCAAGCAACTTCAGTTACGTGTCCATACAGTGACCATCTTCCCTGTTGTCGGTGGCTGTTGTGCATGGGCCGATTCAAGCTCGCTTTTGCTTTGATAATTTGTGGCTAAAGGAGGAGGCGTGCAGCGAAATTGTGAATCACACTTGGGATTCGACTTTTGGAATGGATATCCTGGAGAGGGTAGCAATCTGCAGCGAGAATATATGGCAGTGGGGGAAGAATTTCAATAACGGATTACAATGCAAAATTGATTATAATAAGCGTCGCCTGGAGAGGTTGCGACCGCGTATGGATCCAGATGGCTTATATGAGTATAATTGTGTCGAGAAGGATCTGTTGAGATTGTTAGAACAACAGAACTTGTTTTGGAAGCAGCGAGCGAAGGAGCACTGATGGAGGGGGTGATTTGAACATAAAGTTCTTTCATAATTCCGTGAAAACTCGTCGCAGAAGAAATAAGGTGGAGAAGCTTCTTGATGATAATGGTATTCAGGTTGAGGGCGCTGAGGCGATCGGGGGAGTTATCACAAATTACTTCACTAAGTTATTCACGGCTGAAACTGGCGACGTGGAGGAGGTAATTTCTTGTATCAATTCTCACATCCTGCCTTCTGATAATGCTAGATTAGTCCGGCCAGTTAGTGCAGATGAGGTGAGACATGCCCTCTTTCAAATGCATTCGGACAAATCTTCTGGTCCTGATGGTTTTGGCCCGGGGTTCTTTCAACACTATTGGAATATCTTTGGGAGTGACATCACTTTGTTCTGTCGCCGCTTTTTTGAGTCTAAAAAGTTGCCGGCTAGGGCAAACGATACGTTTGTTATGCTGGTTCCTAAGAAGGTTGCCCCTGAATCTATGAAGGATCTCCGTCCTATAGCGTTGTGCAATGTGTTGTATAAGATAGTGTCGAAGATGTGTGCTAACAGGATGAAAACCTTACTTGATGGAATTATTTCACTAGCTCAGAGTGCTTTTGTGCTAGGACGTCTCATCACTGATAATATAATGCTTGGGTATGAGGCGCACCACTACCTGAAGCGTAAGACGCAGGGTAGGGATGGAGTTGCTGCTTTGAAGATTGATATGAGCAAGGCTTATAACCGGGTAGAATGGAATTTTCTTTGTGCAGTAATGAAGAAGATGGGTTTTTTCACAGGACTGGGTGGATATTATTTATGAAACGATTAGTTCAGTCAACTATCATGTCCTCCATGAACAACGGAAGTTGGGCCCTATTAAACTGAGAAGGGGTCTACAACAGGGTGACCCACTGTCCCCTTATCTTTTCCTGTTGGTGGCTGAGGGTTTGAGCGCGTTAATAGATAATCGTATGCGGAGGGGTTTGCTGCACGGAATTACCATAGCTCGGGGAGCGCCTTCAATTTCCCATCTACTGTTTGCAGACGATTGTTTCCTCTTTCTACAGGCAAATGGTGAATAAAGCTATATAATGAAGGGGGTGCTGGATACATATGCTGCCGCGTCAGGCCAACGGGTTAATTTTGATAAATCTATGATCTGCTTCAGTTCAAACGTTGCACAGTCTATAAGAGGGGAGGTGGTGAATATTCTGGGAGTTAGCCAAGGGGACACTTCTGGCAGGTATCTGGGTTTGCCTTCCCTGGTTTCAGGGAATAAAAAAGCTATACTTGGTTTTCTGAAGGACAAAATATTGAGTCGGGTTCGTAGTTGGAACTCGAGGTGTCTATCTCGTGCGGGGCGGGAAGTTTTGTTGAAGAATGTGCTGCAAGCTATGCCCTGTTATTCCATGATGGTGTTTTTGCTCCCGAAGGGCTTGTTTAACGAGATAGAGGTGCTCCTGAACATGTACTTTTGGACGGAGAATGCCAATAACGCCAAAGGCTTGCGGTGGAAAACCTGGAAGTGTCTTCGTTTGCCAAAGGATAAAGGAGGCATGGACTTTAGACAGCTGCATGAAATGAACCTAACTTTGCTAGGGAAGCAGGTTTGGCGCTTGCTTACTAGACCTAACTCCCTTGTAGCTCGAGTGTATAAAAGCCGATATTAGCCGCGTTGCTCTTTGTTTGATGCAACCGCTGGAAGTAATCCGTCGTTTGTTTGGCAAGGACTGTTGAAGGCAGTGGAAACAATACATAGGGGAAGCCGAAGGTGTATTGGGGATGACCAGACCACTACCATTGGTTTTGATCCATGGTTACCGTCCAGTGACAATCCGTTCGTGACATCGCCGCTACATGATTCCATTATGGCGACTCCTGTGTCGTTCTTACTTGATATCCACGGTGCACGATGGGATGTGGATTGTGTGAGGGATATCTTTAACACCCGTGATGCATCTCTCATCATGAATATACCGGTAAGTTTACGAAAGCCTCCGGACGCCTGGGTGTGGGGTGGTGGACTGAAGGGTGAGTACTCAGTGAAGTCATGTTACAGATTGCTAGTGGGGGAAGCTCAAGAAGCATGGTCATGGAGTGTTATCTGGAATTTGCAGGTACCCCCTAAAGTCAAATTCTTTTGTTGGCAGCTTGCGAGTTATATTCTTCTTACCCGTGATGCTCTTTTGATGAAGCAAGTTCCTTGCGTGATTTTATGCCATATGTGCAGTGTTGTGAATGAATCTGTGAGCCATCTTTTTACGGAGTGCCCAGTTGTGTTAAGTGTTTGGACTCAGATGGGGTTTCCGTTACTGCATTCTGCACAAGGTAATATAGGCCACTGGTTTTTCGAAATGATTTTCACTCTTAATTTTGATGATAGAGCTAAGTTCGCAATGGTGTGCTAGGGCTTGTAGGGAAGCAGGAATGAGAAAATCTGGGATGGAGTCCCCTTCGTTCGGGATGTTGCTGTAGTGAGGGCTTTGTGTTTTGTGTCGAATTGGAGAGAAGCTAATGTGACGCCCAAGCAGTCGCATGCTACCAGTGAAGGAGCAACTCGGTGGAAACCTCCTTCTACTGGACGCATCAAGTTGAATACTGATACAGGAATGGATTTACAAAATAATCGGATGGGTCTAGGGTGGATCTTACGGGATGATGGAGGGGTTTTCTTGGCTGTGAAGTGCATTACTGTTGCGGGAAGTTTTGATGTCAAGGTGGCGAAGGCGATGTGTGTTTGTGAAGCTCTATCTTGGCTTAAGGGAACAGGACTTGGTGATGTCGATGTAGAAACTGATTCTCAGCTTGTGTTTAATTCTTTAAAATCATTCTCTTTTACTTTTGCTTTTGGTTATGTAGTAGATGATATTAAAGAAGTTGTCTCCGAAATACACGGGGTAAACTTCTGCTTTGTAAAGCGATCTGCGAATCGTGCTGCCCACCTTGTTGCGCGGGAAGCCGTTTCTGTGTCAGGTTGCGGGGAGTGGTTTGATAATCCTCCTCATTATCTTGTTGATTGTTTACTGTCTGATTTAATGAATTGATTCGTTATTTGCAAAAAAAAAAAAAAAAAAAAAAATACAATAGTGGATTTTTTCTTCCCATGGTTGGCCAGAAATTGCAACCAACTGTTGGAAGGAAAATTGCAAATACAAGAGTTGACTTGTCTGACCAATTGTTGGTCAGAATTTCCAATACAATGATGAAAATAGTAAGAAATTAGCATATACCAAATTGGTGGGTTACACTTCCAAACTTTGCGTCCAATAATGAGGTGTTGGACGCTATATTCTATCCAATTTTTTGTGTTTTCTAGACCTCGATTTGGGTTGGTTTGTTGGCCGAAAGACCAATTTTCGTCACAAAAATGCATGTTACCATCCAACATCTGTTGGATGGTCAACGCGAGATTACCAGTAGTGTCACGAGGGCACTAAGATCGTTAAAGCGTCTGTTTCTCATGATTCAATTTATTACACATATATTTGAGCATTCAAATATAAACGTTTCAACAAACTTGAACAAATGTATAATTCGTAATTTTTAATAGAAGACTAGAAGGATTGGCAGAACCATTAGAGAAACATAGAAAGTTTAATTTGAGAGAGAAAACAGCAATATTTTTAATGTTCGAAAAAAACACCAAATATTTTGCCCAACATAAAAATATTTATAGGACTTAGGAGACATAGCCAGTAATAAGAGTTTGCAAAATTTTGGACAAAACATTTGACGGGGCGTATAGGTCAAGCTGTTTGTGCTCATTTTGATTTGGGTTTGATTTGCACTAATTACACAAAAGGAAAAACCAAATTATGCTCTGGACCCGTGTCCACATTGAATTGTGGACACGGGCCCAAAACGACGTCGTTTTTAAAAAAAAAAACGCGTCATTTAGTTAAAAAAAAAAAAAAAATTTGCGCGTGTTTTGCCGTTAACGGCGTTATTTTTTTTTTTTTTGATTATGAATGTACAGTTATGCCGTTATGAATGTACAGTTATGCCGTTATGAATGTACAGTTATGCAATTATGAAATTATGAACACAGAGCTCTAACATTATGAACTTACAATTATGAACATATATAGTGATAAAATTATGACCATGGAGCTTTAAAATTGTGAATATAGAGCTTCGAAGATTATGAATGTACAGTTATAGAGTTATGAATCTACAGTTATGGAGTTATGAATCTACAGTTATGAGATTATGAATCTACAGTTATGGAATTATGAATGTACAGTTATTGATCGAATTATGAACAAAGAGCTCTAACATTATGAACTTACAATTATGAACATATAGTGATAAAATTATGAACATAGAGCTCTAAAATTGTGAACATAGAGCTTCGAAAATTATGAATGTACAATTATGGAGTTATGAATGTACAGTTATGAAGTTATGAATGTACAGTTATAGAGTTATGAATGTACAGTTATAGAGTTATGAACGTACAGTTATGGAGTTATGAATGTATAGTTATTAACATATAGTAATAAAATTATGAACATATACTTCTATAACAAAGTGATCTGAAATTAAAAAAAAAAAAAAAAAAAAAAAAAAAAAAAAAAAAAGAAGATAACAGTGCCTAACGGCACTGTTACCCGTGTCCAGCAAGCATTCTGGACACGGGTCCAAGGCATAACGATTGGGAAAAACCTATATGTTATACATGCAATTAAAATTCCTTAAAAACTTTAATAAGAAATGGTACATTGTCCATGGTCTAATTCAAAACTAAAGAAAATAATTTGATCTAATTTTTTCAATTACATCTACTTGAATTTTCACCATTTACATAAAAGAAACCCATGCCAGTTTTGTTTCTTGTATGAAAAATTGTAATTTTTTAACATAATTAATTCTAGGAATGATATATTTACTATTGAACTTTACCAGTTTTTATTCCCGATTTTCAATTGAATCATAAATGGTCCCTTAATTATTAACATTTACTAATTTTCATTATCAACTTTCAATTTGACTATTGATTTTTGTTCTACATTTGGTCATTTAGTTAAATATTCATTTAGTAAGCATTAAATTTAATGGTAAGAATGTAAAAATTGGTTTGTTGTTGAGATGACAAATTGAGTTCATAAATTTAATACATTGGTTCATCATTAGTTGTAATATAAAGAACATATCGATGCATAATAAACTAATTTAGACAAGCATACTGATATGTTTCTGCAACAAATTTGAAGCGATTATGTTATTTGTTTCATCACTTTTAAATATTCAATTTGGAGAAGCAATTCTGCTAGCTAATTTTTACATTATTACCATTAAATTTAATGTTTATTAAATAGACATTCAATCAGAGGACCAAATTTGAAATAAATCAATAGTCAATGAATTATTTATGGTCAAATTAAACGTCAATGATATAAATTGATAAAAGTATATAGTCAAAGGGCCATTTATGATCTAATTGAAAATCAGAAATAAAATTGTTAAATATAAATAGACAATAGACTATCCTTGAAATTAATTATTTTTCAAAATTTCAAATATCCATTTTTTTCATTGTTTAATAAAGTATTAAAATTTACAAACAAATATAAATAATAATCATATAACATAATATTCTCGACATATGTAATGACTGCTTTTGAACAAAACCTTTATATCCTACTCTTAGCCCATAGAATTTTACTTTAGACCAATATAGATTGATTGTACTACTTGTACTCTACATATTCTCATTTCTTAATGTGACTTTTTCTGTTTTCTCTCCCTTTTTAATTTGGTGCAGTATAAGTTATATAACAAAAGTATTTCTAAAGAATATAATTACAAACCGTGTTGATTCACGAAACAAACTTTAAATGAATAAAAATTACATTACATAATAAATAGCATATGCCATGAATATAGTATATACGTATAGGGAATAACTAATAGCAATTTGTTATAGAAATGGATATTTATTTTATTATATAATAAAACAAGTAAAAGTAAATCAAAAGAAATTAAATAAGTCTGCGCCAAACGGCACAAATGACGACACTGTTCAAAAGAAAAGTTGTGATGTTTTTTAGAGCGTCTCATAAATGTGAATAGCAATTAAGTTGTAAATTTGTAATCGATTATTGATTATCAAATTATTAAATCATCTTATTTGTTTATTTATTAATGTGTTTTGAACGGTCCACTCTAAAGTCCAATTGATTATTGATTATTCATTGTAAAAAGAATAACATAATTTCATAAATAAAATTCGTTGAAATAAAAAATTAAATCAAAGGATATAAAAAAAGTCTATTATCATAATTATATTTCTAACCTATTTTATAAAGTAAACGTTGTTATTAAATATTGTCCATACATTTTTCCATTGGGTCTATAAGTCTATTTCATGAGGGCGGTGGGAAAATTTTCGTGACGGTCCATGCGGATTTGTGACGCCATGTTTACATGTCAAACGCAAGTAATTAATTTTCAATCCCAAAATCAACATCGTACAATATAGAATATTAGCAGAATATCCATTCTTCTTCTTCTCGAAGTCCCAACTTTTTGTAAAAGTAAATAAATATTAACCGACCAACTTTAATCTAATAAAATATTTTATATTCTATTAACTAAAATTGAAAGTTTGTGTCGCATATATAAAGTTATAAGAGATATTAAAATGATTTGAATTTAAATTAGTTAAAACTTTTTTTTTTTTTTGAAAAAATTAGTTAAAAACTTAATCTAGGTAATTTGATCATTTTAATATATTTATTAATGCGTAAATACAACTATGAATGACATATAAACAATATAATAATAAAAACTTATTAGGATTAATTTAGCGTAAACTTAAAAACTTAATGTATAAAAAAATTAAAGTATAATATAAAAAGCTGGCAAATTCTCTTATAAGTCGTCATCCGTGAAGCGGGTATAATTTTTTTTATAAGTATACATTTTACCATACAAGTATTAAATTTTTTATCATAACTCCTCAACTCTTAATATTACATTTCGATTTTAAAATATTATATTTTTATCATAAGTATTACATTTTCTCTCATAACAATTAAAGAATTTATCCATGTTTAGGTAACATTTTTCCTCATAAGTTACTATTCAACCCTAAATATTATATTTTGATTTAATTTAAAGGTATTATATTTTCTCACATAAGTATTACAATTTTCATCATAAGTAACTCTTTAACTACTCTTAATATTACATTTTGATTTAAAAGTACGTACTAGTATACTACATTTCTTATTAAAAAAATCACATTTTTCTTCATAAGTATTATTACACTTTCTCTCAAAAGTAAAAATTAAACAATTTATCAATGATTAGTATTACATTTTTGCTCATATATAAGTAATTATTCAACCTTAGATATTACATTTTAATAAATAAAAATATTACATTTCTCTTTAAAAGTATTACACTTTTTCTTATAAATAAAAAATAATTTATTCCTTAATTAAAATTACATTTTTAATACAAATATTACATTTTCGTCATGTCCCGACCCGTCATAAGAATCCATGAGACAATATTGCAGGAGCTGAGGTTCACTCTAAAAGCATTTAGAAACATATCTTTAATCAGAGGATGGAGGACACTAAGATTATAAAATACTAAATTATCCTAAAAATTAACACTAATTTATTAAAAATTATAACTAAGAATCAAATGTAAAAATGTAAATAAAACTAAATTTGATTTAATTAAAAATTAAGAATAAAATGTGATAATGTCACAATAATAATGAAATTAAAAGTAAAATTTTCAATTAAAATTATTACATTCTAAAAATATCACTTATGAAAATCTCATATTTCTATGAAAAAAATCATTTTCTATAGTCTCATATTAGTTCAAAAATCCTACATTTTTTAGAATCATATAAAATATGTTGTAAATAAATAAATATGAACATTACTAAAGGACTTATATTATGATTATGTTATTTCTTCATCTCCATAGATAGATTGATGGAAACTATGTCCATCTTATATATATTGAATTCAATGATGAATTTTAAAATGATTTTTTTTTTTTTTTTTGTATTTCTAATCTT